ATTTCCACCTGTGCATTATGCACTGTTTAAAGTATATAATAATCAGATAACATACAGACGGTATGAATGGGACTATCCGCTATAGCATGCAGATCAGCTCGACTAGTCCCATTCCTCATCTTCAGCACGCCAACCGGACCGTTGGCATGTTCAAAAGGTCTGCTTGAGGACTTCATGAGGTGACACACAACTGAGGCTTTTTGCATAATATATGCAGTTTTTATCCACAAAAATATATTTGTAAATAACACAAAAATGTTATTTACAATATCATGTGATCTCAGTCACAAATCATTCTGAGTACAATGATATGGATCTTTTTCTAATTCATTTTGTTTGTGGCATTCCATAGTCCATAGTCCAGAAAAATCCTTTAAAATGCTGGAGAGCAATAGCCTTCATAATAAGTCTACATTTATCTATTACAAAGGTTTCAATATACTTTTTTTTGTAATACGCAATTTGCATTTTCTTAATAAAATAATTAATTTCAGTGATACAGATTTAGAATTCTTCTTTCAATCTACACAATTGAGTTATAAAATATTAGTGTGATTCTCTATGGTAGCAGTATCTACAGCAGACCCAGAATTATACATTTTGATTTAGAAAATAGGAAGGTTACACAGAACAGCTCAAACAGAAACACTGTGCTGCTGGCCTGGTAGAGATGGCCAGACGTTGGCCGAATCCACCCCTAAACACTGTGCTGCTGGCCTGGTAGAGATGGCCAGACGTTGGCCGAATCCACCCCTAAACACTGTGCTGCTGGCCTGGTAGAGATGGCCAGACGTTGGCCGAATCCACCCCTAAACATTGTGCTGCTGGCCTGGTAGAGATGGCCAGACGTTGGCCGAATCCACCCCTAAACACTGTGCTGCTGGCCTGGTAGAGATGGCCAGACGTTGGCCGAATCCACCCCTAAACACTACGCCCTGATTGGATTTGACAGGTGTAAGCAATATGGTAATTGCTCCACCTTGCCCTGTGATAGGCCAGGTGGAAGTTTCATTCTATTGCTTATACCAAGGGTTTAGGGGTTGATTTGGGGGTTGATTTGGGGATTGGGGCCCTCCTCCAGAGTAAACAGCACCCCCCTCTTATTGCCCAACGTGTTATAAATTAGATCAAACTACTAAAGTGATGACAGAAATAATTTCACCAAAATGTTCTGTTTAAATAATAAGAGAATATATATTAAATACTTTCCCAATGGACTTTTCTTTTATATATTCCCATATTGCCGACCATGTCTCTGTTTTATATAATCCCATATTGCCATGTCTCTGAGCAGAGTAAAACAGGGATATTACTGATTTAGACACCACGTCCCAAATGGCACCCTATTCCCTATATAGTGCACTACTTTAGACCAGAGAATGGCACCCTATTCCCTATATAGTGCACTACTTTAGACCAGAGAATGGCACCCTATTCCCTATATAGTGCACTATGTTTTACCAGGGCCCTGGTCACAAGTAGTGCACTATATAGGGAATATGATGCAATTTGGGACACATACACGGATACATAAGGAAAGATTGCACTTCCAGGTTATAAATATCAAACCACAGTGCTGCTTCAACAAAGATTTAGTAGGTTTTTATCTGAAAATAAATATAAAATCATAAAATCAATAAATAAAAACATAATAATAATAATACTATAGATAAGTTATATAGCTGTTTTGAATACCATTTTCAGCTGTACTGTTGTTGGTTTCTCAGCGTATTAATTAGTACCCAGCTCCATAGTTTGTGAAAGGAACTGTTGAGTAGACCTGAGAGCAGAGATGGAACACAACAGACAGACGGCATTTTGGGGACACAGAGGAAGAGGCCTCTAGCTTTGGGATGAAACACGGGGGAGCTGACCCCTGACTGACCCCACCAACTCCAGTCAACTGGGACGGAGCACAGAGCGGTAAACGGGGTTATGATGTGATTTTATTACAGGGGTTTAGTCTGTGTAAAGCAACACCCACCACAACGCTACATAGAGCTAGAAAAAGTCCCTGAGGCCGACTAGGTGAAAAATCTGTCAATGTGCCCTTGAGCAAGGCACTTAACCCTAATTGCTCCTGTAAGTCGCTCTGGATAAGAGCGTCTGCTAATTGACTAAAATGTAAATGTTTAAAACCCTTAAGTCGATGTCCGTGTCCCACAAATATCTAATTAGCATAATAATAAAGAAATGCCATAAAAATCTGTTTAAGATCGTTTTTTTGCTTTAGTTTTTTTTGCATCCGCTGATGTCAGCCACCTGTATCGGCGGTGAAAGGTGGCGTAGCTACAGTAGTGTTTGGCAGACCATCAGACATCCCCAAAAATCGGTCTTCTCACGTCTGTACCGTCCGAACGGTTTGGCCTTCAAAACTATTATGGCCCCTGTATGGAAAGACCCCACGATGGAAAGACCCCACGATGGAAAGACCCCACGATGGAAAGACCCCATGATGGAAAGACCCCACGATGGAAAGACCCCACGATGGAAAGACCCCACGATGGAAAGACCCCACGATGGAAAGACCCCACGATGGCGTTCTCCATTTTGCTCTACGACTCCCACAAGTTTCGCGGGTCCCGTTTTTGAAGTCGGCACCGCCAATATTCCACCTTCTGTCTGTAGTGGCTGAACAGTTTGGGATTTAACACATTAATATGAACCCTCTGTGGAAGATGAGACTCTCTGCTCTAGGAGGCCTCAAGACTCGTCTGAAGGTAGCCCGGTACCAGTTTTTAAAAAATGAATGGAAGTACACTGAACAAAATATAAACGCAACATGTTGAAAGAAAGGTAGGGGCGTACATTAGAAAAACAGCCAGTATCTGGTGTGACCACCATTTGCCTCATGCAGCGCTTTGCATAGAGTTGATCAGGCTGTTGATTGTGGCCTGTGGAATGTTGTCAAACTCCTCAATGGCTGTGCGAAGTTGATGGATATTGGCAGAGACTGGAACACGCTGGCGTACACGTCAATCCAGAGCATCCCAAACATGCTCAATGGGTGACATGTCTGGTGAGTATGCAGGCCATGGAAGAACTGGGACATTTTCAGCTTCCAGGAATTGTGGACAGACCCTTGGGACATGGGGGCGTGCATTATCATGCTGAAACATGAGGTGATGGCGGCGGATGAATGGCACGACAATGGGCCTCAGGATCTCGTCACGGTATCTCTGTGCATTCAAATTGCCATCGTTAAAATGCAATTGTGTTCGTTGTCTCCCTCAAAACTTGAGACATCTGTTGGATTGTGTTTTGTGACAAAACTGCACATTTTAGAGTAGCCTTTTATTGTCCCCAGCACAAGGTGCACCTGTGTAATGATCATGCTGTTTAATCAGCTTCTTGATATGCCACACCTGTCAGGTGGATGGATTATCTTGGCAAAGGAGAAATGCTCACTAACAGGGATGTAAACAAATTTGTGCACAACATTTGAGAGAAAAGCTTTTTGTGCTTATGGAACATTATTTCTGCTCATGCAACCAAAACTTTACATGTTCCGTTTATATTTCTGTTCAGTGTATACATGGAAGTAGTTTAATGCCTAAACAAAGGGGTTAAATATGTCAAATTATAATAATCCTGGTATTTCTTCTCTCTCAAAACAAACTTCCTTTTAATGTATTTGTTGACTGTTTATTCCATGTATGAATCTGTTATTCAATGTGTTTCTATGGGCTAATAGCAGTAAGGTCAAATTCAATGTTTCATCAAATATATATTTTTATATATTATTTTGTATACCCAAAGGGGTCCTAAAATTCTAAATCAAATAGCTAAATTATCATTTTTATGACCATATTAAAACAATTCCAAATGTCAGCTTAGTAGAACCCCGCCTCCCCCCGGTTTAGACTCTAGGGGGTTAAAGATTCCCCTAGTCAGCCCCATCCAACGGGGCCAGATCAGGGATCACAGGGCCAGATCAGGGATCAGAGGCCAGATCAGGGATCACTGGGCCAGATCAGGGATCACAGGGCCAGATCAGGGATCACAGGGCCAGATCAGGGATCACTGGGCCAGATCAGGGATCACAGGGCCAGATCAGGGATCAGAGGCCAGATCAGGGATCACTGGGCCAGATCAGGGATCACAGGGCCAGATCAGGGATCACAGGGCCAGATCAGGGATCACTGGGCCAGATCAGGGCCAGATCAGGGATCACTGGGCCAGATCAGGGATCAGAGGGCCAGATCTGGGATCAGAGGGCCAGATCAGGGATCACAGGGCCAGATCAGGGATCACAGGGCCAGATCAGGGATCACAGGGCCAGATCAGGGATCACAGGGCCAGATCAGGGATCACAGGGCCAGATCAGGGATCACAGGGCCAGATCAGGGATCACAGGGCCAGATCAGGGATCACAGGGCCAGATCAGGGATCACAGGGCCAGATCAGGGATCTTAGAATTGAGGTTTTACTTTTATTTTAATCTCACTTTTCTTTTTCTTTTTTCAACTGAAACGTTAGCTGCCATTTCATATAGCAATATCTACCAACTGAAACGTTAGCTGCCATTTCATATAGCAATATCTACCAACTGAAACGTTAGCTGCCATTTCATATAGCAATATCTACCAACTGAAACGTTAGCTGCCATTTCATATAGCAATATCTACCAACTGAAACGTTAGCTGCCATTTCATATAGCAATATCTACCAACTGAAACGTTAGCTGCCATTTCATATAGCAATATCTACCAACTGAAACGTTAGCTGCCATTTCATATAGCAATATCTACCAACTGAAACGTTAGCTGCCATTTCATATAGCAATATCTACCAACTGAAACGTTAGCTGCCATTTCATATAGCAATATCTACCAACTGAAACGTTAGCTGCCATTAACTGCTTTACTAACATTTGGAAGGCAAGAGCGGAATCTCAATAACAATAGATAAGCAAGAGAGAAATCCCAGCAGTCTGTTTACACTGACCACCGTCCCCCTAATTTACTACATAGTCCAGAACACAGTTCAGGTCCTGATAGTTAACCCCTGACGGCTTCCTCCAACAGCTCATTGTCTGTGAATGTTGCAGGGGGTTCTGGGACAGATTCTGACAGACCAATCAGAGACTCCAGGAAGCAGGTCCCAGGGTCACTGGCCTGTGATTGGCTGCTGGGGTAACTAGGCAACTGGAAGTGAAAAAAGTTGTCCATGTGTTGGTCCTTTAGGGAGCTGTAGAGGGAGGAAGGACCCAGACAGAAACCATCAAAGAACTCCAGGTCAGACTCTGAGATCAGGCTGAGGTCCATGTAGCTGGCAGCAGGGCGGTCTACTGAGGGAGAGGGGGGGTTGGGCCGGTCTACTGAGGGAGAGGGGGGGTTGGGCCGGTCTACTGAGGGAGAGGGGGGGTTGGGGCGGTCTACTGAGGGAGAGGGGGGGTTGGGGCGGCCTACTGAGGGAGAGGGGGGGTTGGGGCGGTCTACTGAGGGAGAGGGGGGGTTGGGGCGGTCTACTGAGGGAGAGGGGGGGTTGGGGCGGCCTACTGAGGGAGAGGGGGGGTTGGGGCGGTCTACTGAGGGAGAGGGGGGGTTGGGGCGGTCTACTGAGGGAGAGGGGGGGTTGGGGCGGTCTACTGAGGGAGAGGGGGGGTTGGGGCGGTCTACTGAGGGAGAGGGGGGGTTGGGGCGGTCTACTGAGTGAAAGGGGGGGTTGGGGCGGCCTACTGAGGGAGAGGGGGGGTTGGGGATTCTGCAGCCGCTGTGGTGGAACAGACAGTTGCCTTGGTTAGCGTTATCATCTAACAGTTGTGATATAGCCATGGCCCTGTTGTCTGTGTACACCTCCTCTGAGAAGTCTGCCGTGCTAAACCCTCCCAACATCCACGTTGTTGTCGTCATGGACAATGGCTGCTGCTGTAGCCGTTGCTCGGGGCAACAGCGGTTGTCATTAACAATGTAGTTATTTACGTTATAGTCGTTGTCGTTGGTGATGTCGCTGAAGCTGAGGATGCGGCTCAGTCCGTTCTCATCCACATCATCCAGCAGGGGGCCGTCCTCCCGGCCTAACCCCGCCCCTAATCCCGCCCCTTCCTCTGAGTCCTCACTCGCCCCCGAGGAGGCAGAGGAGTCCGTCATGTCGCTGCTACAGCTGTTCTCCCCGACCTCCGCAAGCTCTGAGCTGAAGTAGAAGGAGGGGCCATCTGGGATGGAGGAGAGGTCGGACAGGGGGTTATGGGCGTGGCCCGGGGCTGGGGTGGTCTCTCCCGGGTCCTCTTCCTCTGGTCCAGACGTCTCCTCCAGTCTCTTCTCCAGCTCTAGCTTCATGATGGTGTGGATGTAGTGGGTCTGAACCCGGCTGGAGTTGAACTCTATGCGACCTTCCTGGTTACCGCAGCCATCCTTAGTGCAGCCGCAGGGAAATGACGAGTGGTCCATCTGGGGAGAAGAGGACGTTAAAATCAGGATCTGCTTTGTCACGGAGGGTACAGCATGTCGTATTACAGTGGACAACTAACCACTGCAATAGGTTCTGCTCATATTGTTAGGAATATAAAGTATTTAAACATGAGAGGTCAGTTTACTGTTAACATTGAAGTTGAAGAAATGTTCATATGTGAGTTTTTATTAGCAATGTGTCTTACCTGACACTTGATGCCCGCCAGGTTGCAGGCGCAGGTCTCTGGCTCACAGAAGCCCTGACAGTCACAGCCACAGTCCTCCCTGGACACTCTCAGCTGCTGGAGCTGCCTCTTCTCCTCCTTATCGATCTTCTTCACCCCCGCGGCCTTCAGCAGGGCGTGTCTCCGCTTGGAGGGGTAGGGGTGGAGGAAGGAGCCGTCGTCTAGGTTACAACTGCTGATGTCCATCTCGTCCTCTGGGATGTCTTCGACGGTGAGGCAGTCCGCCTCCTCTGACTCCACCGTGCCTCCCTTAGTCAGCTGGGAAGGAGAGACGGGGGGGGGGGGGGGTTAGGATAATTGTGATGCATGTGTGTGGGTTCTCTCAAGACAAGAGAGCTAGAACACTTCCAAAAGTTAACAGTAGGTGTTTAACCTCGACTCAGAGTCTTGTTATAGAACTCAAACCTTTACACTATCAGAAATAAAGCCTTTCACCAGCAGACACACAGCTGCATATAAGCTTCATAACTAGCTAACCCATATGTGTGTCCCAGGGCTCACTTTCTGTTTCAGAGCGTCTAGTTCTTCCTCTCGGAGGCGGTTGAGGAGTTTCTCCCGGCGGAGGATGCGTTGCTCCACAGCGTACTCTTCCAGGGTGTACCTGCGGAGGGCGCTGTGGTGCTGCATCATGCCCAGGGAACAGCCCCCCTTACTGGGCACGCTGCTGAAGCCCTGGCACCGCGGGAAGAGAAACACTGTCACCATGTCAAAGGTCACGTTGCCCCGGCCTAGCCGTTCACGCTTAGCCTTCTTCTGGATGGACTTGACTAGAGAGAGAGAGATAAGAGTTGGTGTTATCACAGCTCATTACTTAAGACCTTTCAAGAACATGAGACATTAAGGGGGGGAGAGGGGGGGGAGGAGGAGCTGAGGGGGAGAGGGGGGAGGAGGGGAGGGGAGAGGGGGAGGGGCTGAGGAGGGGGAGGGGCTGAGGGGGAGGAGGAGCTGAGGGGGAGAGGGGGGAGGAGGGGAGGGGAGAGGAGAGGAGGGGAGAGGGGGAGGGGCTGAGGAGGGGGAGGGGCTGAGGGGGAGGAGGACCTGAGGGGGCAAATATGACCATAACTCTATCTTCCTGATTCCTGCTTACAAGCAAAACTCAAAACAGGAAGTACCAGTGACGTGCTCAATATGGAAGTGGACCGATGAAGCGGATGTTAAACTACAGGACTGTTTCGCTAGCACAGACTGGAATATGTTCCAGGATTCATCCGATGGCATTGAGGAGTTTATCACATCAGACACCGGTTTCATTAATAAGTGCAACTACAACGTCGTCCCCACAGTGACCGTACGTACACACCCCAAATAGAAACCATGGATTATAGGCAACATCCGCACTGAGCTAAAGGCTAGAGCTGCCGCTGTCAAGGAGCGGGACACTAATCCAGACATTTATAACAAATCCTGCTATGCCCTCTGACGAACCATCAAACAGGCAAAGCGTCAATACAGGATTAAGATTGAATCCCAGTACCCCGGCTCTGACACTCGTTGGATGTGGCAGAGATTGCAAACTATCACAGATTACAAAGGGAAGCACAGCCGCGAGCTGCCCAGTGACGCGAGCCTACCAGACAAGCTAAATGCCTTCTATGCTCGATACGAGACAAGCAACACTGAACCATGCATGAGAGCACCAGCTGTTCCGGACAGCTGTGTGATCTTGCTCTCCGTGAGTAAGACCTTTAAACAGGTTAACATTCACCGGACCGCAGGGTCAGACAGATTACCAGGATGCGTACTCAGAGCATGTGCTGACCAGCGTCTTCACTGACATTTTCAACCTCTCCCTAACCCAAAGAACACATCCGCCACACTGACCCTCAACACGGGGGCCCCTCAGGGGTGCGTGCTTAGTCTCCTCCTGTACTCCCTGTTCACCCACGACTGCGTGGCCGCACACGACTCCAACACCATCATTAAGTTTGCAGACGACACGACTGTGGTAGGCCTGATCACAGATGACGATGAGACAGCCTACAGGGAGGAGGTCAGAGACCTGGCAGTGTGGTGCCAGGACAACAACCTCTCCCTCAATGTCAGCAAGACAAAAGGAGCTGATCGTGGACTACAGGAAACGGAGGGCCGAGCACGCCCCCATCCACATTGACGGGACTGTAGTGGAGATGGTCGAGAGCTTCAAGTTCCTTGGTGTCAACATCACTAAGGACCCATCATGGTCCAAAGACAACAACACAGTTATGTAGAGGACACGACCACACATCTTCCCCCTCAGGAGACTGAAAATATTTGGCATGGGCCCTCAGATCCTCAAAAAAAACTTTATTTCTAGTTATCTGTACATATCTACCTCAATTACCTTGTTCCCCTGCACATCGACTCGGTACTGGTACCCTGTGCATATAGCCAAGTTATCGTTACTCATTAAGTACTTATTATTACGTGTTTATTATTTCTCCATGTTCTTTCAATCTGCGTTGTTGGGAAAGGCCCGTAGGTCAGCATTTCACTGTTAGTCTACACCTGTTGTTTACAAAGAATGTGACGAATTAAACGTGATTTGATTAAAGACCAAATGTGAGAAGGAGAGAGCCAGAGAGGACCCAGGACAGGGTACATGTCTAACCCCAGTACGAGGGCCTTCGGCTGGGCCTCAACCTGTCCTCACCTCCCCTGACCCTGACCCAGCATGAAATAGGAGATGGTGCTGCTGTCTGTCGCCTCCACAGAGCAGATCACACTACACACTGCCTCCCTACACCCTATGGGCCCTGGTCAAAAGTAGTGCAATATAGGGAATAGGGTGCCATTTGGGACGCAGCCGGAGCCTGTTTCAGTGTGACATCCATCCGCCTGATAACGATAGGAGGACAAACACGCTCCACTCTGACGCTTAGGGTCTGTTTTACAACCACTTCAAAATGGTGTTCAACCATCGTAACAACTATCTCCTTTAGATGAACACAGAAAGTATCATCCTCTCTTCTCATCTCATGCTCCAACATGCCTTCCTCTCCTCATCTCACCCTCTCTCCCTCCATCCCTCTCTCTCTCCCTCCATCCCCAGTCTCTTCCAGGCAGGCAGGCAGCACCTGTGCTGGGTGAGTGCCTAGGGCCCAGACAAGGCTCTGTGTGTTCTCTCTGCCATCTGTCATCCTGCTCACTCTCTGGCTCCCTGCCCTGCCATCCTGGGAACCCTAACAACCGTTTGCCCTTCTCTCCAACCCTGCACTGACCCCAAAACCCCCATCAATACCACAGTCCCCCCACAGTTCGTTCTACCTTCTTATCAGTCTGTGAGAGAGGGGGGGTCTCTCATCTTCTCTTAGCTTGGCTCTTCTTGTACCTGCTCACAGCCTATCTAACCTATCCTAATACATAATGAATGTGTTGAGAGAATCTATGGCTCCAGGGCCTGGAATATAAAAGGTATTCGGACAGACAGACAGACAGACAGACAGACGTCTGTTTTAATGAGCTGTTCTGTGTAAGGCAGTAAGTCTGTTTTAACGAGCTGTTCTGTGTAAGGCAGTAAGTCTGTTTTAATTAGCTGTTCTGTGTAAGGCAGTAAGTCTGTTTTAATGAGCTGTTCTGTGTAAGGCAGTAAGTCTGTTTTAATGAGCTGTTCTGTGTAAGGCAGTAAGACTGTTTTAATGAGCTGTTCTGTGTAAGGCAGTAAGTCTGTTTTAATGAGCTGTTCTGTGTAAGGCAGTAAGACTGTTTTAATGAGCTGTTCTGTGTAAGGCAGTAAGTCTGTTTTAACGAGCTGTTCTGTGTAAGGCAGTAAGTCTGTTTTAACGAGCTGTTCTGTGTAAGGCAGTAAGTCTGTTTTAACGAGCTGTTCTGTGTAAGGCAGTAAGACTGTTTTAACGAGCTGTTCTGTGTAAGGCAGTAAGTCTGTTTTAATGAGCTGTTCTGTGTAAGGCAGTAAGTCTGTTTTAACGAGCTGTTCTGTGTAAGGCAGTAAGTCTGTTTTAATGAGCTGTTCTGTGTAAGGCAGTAAGTCTGTTTTAACGAGCTGTTCTGTGTAAGGCAGTAAGTCTGTTTTAACGAGCTGTTCTGTGTAAGGCAGTAAGTCTGTTTTAATGAGCTGTTCTGTGTAAGGCAGTAAGTCTGTTTTAACGAGCTGTTCTGTGTAAGGCAGTAAGTCTGTTTTAACGAGCTGTTCTGTGTAAGGCAGTAAGTCTGTTTTAATGAGCTGTTCTGTGTAAGGCAGTAAGTCTGTTTTAATGAGCTGTTCTGTGTAAGGCAGTAAGTCTGTTTTAACGAGCTGTTCTGTGTAAGGCAGTAAGACTGTTTTAACGAGCTGTTCTGTGTAAGGCAGTAAGTCTGTTTTAATGAGCTGTTCTGTGTAAGGCAGTAAGTCTGTTTTAATGAGCTGTTCTGTGTAAGGCAGTAAGTCTGTTTTAACGAGCTGTTCTGTGTAAGGCAGTAAGTCTGTTTTAACGAGCTGTTCTGTGTAAGGCAGTAAGTCTGTTTTAACGAGCTGTTCTGTGTAAGGCAGTAAGTCTGTTTTAATGAGCTGTTCTGTGTAAGGCAGTAAGTCTGTTTTAACGAGCTGTTCTGTGTAAGGCAGTAAGTCTGTTTTAACGAGCTGTTCTGTGTAAGGCAGTAAGTCTTTTTTAACGAGCTGTTCTGTGTAAGGCAGTAAGTCTGTTTTAATGAGCTGTTCTGTGTAAGGCAGTAAGACTGTTTTAACGAGCTGTTCTGTAAGGCAGTAAGTCTGTTTTAATGAGCTGTTCTGTGTAAGGCAGTAAGACTGTTTTAATGAGCTGCAGGCACTACCAATCCAGGCACTATCAGACACGGCCATGACATAGTGAAGGTGGATTCAATAGACTAGATCCTCACCGTTGTAATGCGTGTCGGGAGAGCCAGGGTTGCTGGGTGTTGAGTCCAGGGTGTCTGAGTAGCAGCTCTCCCCAGCCGAGTCCCATCCGGAGTAGGCCGAAGAGGACAGGGAGGAGGGGTAGCACGGGTCCTCCTCATAGACATCCTCAAACTTCCTCTTCACTAGCCCGCTCATCGTTTTAGCTAGCATGGACCCGATCTGAGGAACACAGGGAGAGGAGAGAGGATTATTAGCATGGCGCTAGCTAGCATGGACCCGATCTGAGGAACACAGGAAGAGGAGAGAGGGTTATTAGCATGGCGCTAGCTAGCATGGACCCGATCTGAGGAACACAGGGAGAGGAGAGAGGGTTATTAGCATGGCGCTAGCTAGCATGGACCCAATCTGAGAAACACATGGAGAGGAGAGAGGATTATTAGCATGGCGCTAGCTAGCATGGACCCGATCTGAGGAACACAGGAAGAGGATTGAGGGTTATTAGCATGGCGCTAGCTAGCATGGACCTGATCTGAGGAACACAGGAAAAGGAGAGAAGGTTATTAGCATGGCGCTAGCTAGCATGGACCTGATCTTAGGACCATAGGAAGAGGGGTTAACATTAGAATGTTTACAATTAGCATAATTGGCATAATCAACATGTCATAACTGCGGTGGGGTTGTGATTTCAGCAGACGTGATCATGGTGATATTACAGGCGTCCTACACAGGAAGGCCTCAGGATCAATATTATTATTACTGTGCTCACATTAAACACAAACTATTATCATATCATCTGATTATCATAATAGGAATAATAGAATAACACCTGAAAACCCAGGTGATGCTCTAAAAAGGCTGGCTTTGCAACAATCATAGATGTCTGAGCGAAATGTACAATGGTCTCTGCTGAGTACAAGCTAGTGAGGCCCAGCAGAACACACCTCATGCTACACTCAGCTGAGACAGAGAGAGTCAATCCATGTCATTTCAGCAAGCCATATCATCCACCATCTCAAATTGTTCTGAAATCGTGTCTGTAGTTAGAAACAGATAAGTTTAGCATTCCTGAAACATTATTTTGTTGAAATATAATTTGATCTGAGATTAAGCTAATTGATTGCACCCAAATTGGCCATTTTAATTTGTACCTAACATTCGATTAGCCAATCACAGACCCAACGCCAATCCCACTCCAACAACCAGTATACAGTATCAGTTCTCTATGTCTGACAAGTAGTATGGCGCTGCTGCTTGGAGTATTGCTTCTTCATACATTGTAATGTATACCCTGTGAATCTGGTGATAGTTTTCTTCCCCTGTTCAGAGAAATTAGCCATTTGAAGTTGCTTGCATTCTTTACCATAAATGTGACCGATCCGCCTTAATTCGGTTTTGAAATTAGAAATTGTGTTTTTTACATTGGATAAAAGCAGAGACACAGAGCTACAAATTTGTATATCATACACTGCATTTAAGGGAACAATGGGAAAGTAATTCTGCTTTGAAAGTTGATAAACTTGTAATCTCACTTTTGAGAAAATGGCCTTTGAATGTTTTAGTACCTAGTGAAGAACTCTTCTTTGTCTACACCCATTCAGCATCGTTCACACCCTCTTAAGCTTTAGGCCCACCCATCTCGTTTCGCTCTCGGCGTGTTCAGAGCTCACACTTGACGCTCTGGCCAATGAGTAGGGTTGATCCGAGCGTTCTGACCTCATAACGGCAGTCAAGCACCCTAGCTAACTGGCTAACATTGGCTAGCTGGCGATTTACTTTCAGACACAAAATTGGGATTATGGTTAATTGTTTACCTCTGGATAACATGAAAACAGCCTAACCAGCTCTGCTGGCAACAATGTAATTACACTTTTTTGCCGACGTTTACTGACACCGGCCATATTCAACGGGTGTTGTGCGTTCGTAAATTCATCAGTTATTCTGAGTCTTTTGTTAAGACATGTAGCTAGCTAGCTAGGTAAACAACGTGTAAAATCATACACGTCACCTAACGTTTGCTAGCGAGCCAGCCAGCTAACGTTAGCAGTTAAACAATTAACCATAGTGCCAACTCATGTCGTTACTACCCAGCATGAATCTGCTGGTAGCTAACCAACCAGGTTCAATCTTAGCTAGCTAACATTAGGCTCTAACTAGCCAAGCATATGGCTCTGAGATTCAAATAACAACATCATACACGTAATGCTAGCTAGCTAACAGTACACTTTAACTAAAAACTAAACCACTTTCTGTCAAAATTAGAAACGTGTAATATCTGAAAATGTAGCTAGCTAGACTATCTTACTCGTATACATCATGCATGATGGACGCGTCTCCCTGTCACGGATGCCATGGTTGCCCTTAGATTGAAGATGTAATCCAGAGACAGGTGTTTTATCCATCTCTTTAGCTATCATACTCTAATTCCACTGATTTCAAAACTCAAGCCTCCACAAAGTGGAGAGCAACACGTATGCAGCTCCACTACACGATACATTTAAAAAAGCCACGTTAGACAGGATTACCTACACATACTGACCAGCTCAAAATAGACAGAAGCCAATCCAAACTCAATAGACAGAAGCCTTCTATATGGCAGACCAATCCGAACTCCTCTCTCGACATGTCCAGCCCACTCATTATCTCAGCCAATCGCGGCGAGCGGGAAGGTTGCTGTCTTTTTCTGTGGCTTAACCAACTAGGCTCTAAATTTAACAATTTTATTCGTATTTACAGATGGCATACAAGTTTGTTATTAAGGCACATGAAAGTTAACATGTTCCAGAAGGCATTTGTGCCAAAAAACGCATTTTGATTAATATATTTTTTTTTTGCATTCAAATGGCTCTCCTGTGAAGTAGTGATCCGCGACATGTGCCTAGTTTCCTGAAACAAGTCATAAATTAGTGTGAAAGTACCACGTTTTGCCCACTAGATGCTGCTGTTCCTACTTTTATCAGTTTTGCTGGTATCTTGTGTTTATTAAATGGATCACAACATTTTCTTTGCAACTTTAGGTAGAAAGCCAATAGCTATTAGCATGAAAAAGCTATTAGTTTTACTACCTAAAGTTGTAAAGAAAATGTTTTGGTCCATTTAATAAACACTAGAGACCAGCTAAATGAATAAAAGGGAGTTGCAGGAACAGGAACAGGAACAGGAACAGGAACAGGAGCAGGAGCAGGAACAGGAACAGGAACAGGAACAGGAAACAGGAGCAGGAACAGGAACAGGAACAGGAACAGGAGCAGGAGCAGGAGCAGGAACAGGAACAGGAACAGGAACAGGAGCAGGAGCAGGAACAGGAACAGGAACAGGACAGGACAGGACAGGAACAGGAACAGGAACAGGAACAGGAACGGGCAGGAACAGGAGCAGGAAGCAGGACAGGAAGCAGACAGAACAGGAACAGGAACAGGAACAGAGAACAGGAACAGGAGCAGGAAGGCAGGAACAGGAACAGGAACAGGAACAGGAACAGGAGCAGGACAGGACAGGAGCAGGAACAGGAACAGGAACAGGACAGGAACAGCAGGAACAGGATCAGTACAGGAACAGGAACAGGACAGGAACAGGACAGGAACAGGAACAGGAACAGGAACAGGAAAGGTCAAGGAGCAGGACAGGACACAGGAACAGGACATGACAGGACAACAGGACAGAACAGGAAGTGAGCAGGACAGGAACAGGAGACAGGACAGCAGGACAGGAACATGAACAGACAGAAAGAAAGAACAGACCGGAACAGGACAGGAACAGGATAGCAAAACGACAGAATGAACACGATCAGGTACCTTCACACTAATTTATGGTAAATAATGCAAGTGACTTCTAATGGCTATTTTCTCTGAACAGGGGATGAAAACCATCACTAGATTTACCGGGAATATATTACAAAGTATGAAGAAGCAATACTCCAAGCAGCAGCTCAATAATACTTGTCAGACATAGAAGTCTGTGGGTGTCTATTGATCATTTTATTGGATTCCTCATGTCTTACTCATTGAAAGGAAGAATAATGGTTCAAATCGGATGTTAGGTACTATATTTATTGAAGATTATATGAATCCTATAAATTAAAATGGCCAATTTGGGTGCAATCAATTAGCTTAATCTCAGAGATCAAATTATATTTCAACAAAATAATGTTTCAGGAATGCTTATCTTATGTTTCTAACAACATAAATGATTTCAAAACAATCTGAGATGGTGGGTGTCATAGAATGACCCTACAGGAAGTAAAACAGACTTCATTTACAGAACCCTTCAGCCACTAACATCCCTAAAGCAGAGACCATGCATTGATCAACAGGGAGGGAAGAGCAGAGAGGAGCCCACCAAATAACCCTGAAAATAACCCAGCAAGAGATATTAAATCTCAACCATTTCCACATGCAAGCCCCCTTGCTTGCTTCGTAATGTTTCCAAGCCCTGATTAATTCTCTAGTGATATCGCAGTTTACATATTTATTCATGGCTCTACTGACTCCAGTGGAATCATTTTTCAAATAATGCTTAAAAAAAAATTCACTTTATTTGGAATGGCAAACCAGATAAAGTTAAACGAGCATATTTAGATAACGAACATGAGTTTAGAGGGTTAAACCTCTCTCTTAAAGCCTCTATTGTACCGAAATCCAAATTGGTTTTCCAGCAAGCTACTGAGAGAGTCCCATCCTATGTTTAGGAGTGGGATATTTGCCTTTTTGCAGATTAGAACTTTACATTTTGGGTGGATTGACAGTGGATCCCTGTTTAAAGTATCCTCCTTTTAAAAAGAAGCCATACAGAGTTGGCTACAATTTCAATTTCATCCTCCAGATCAAATATTATAGCAAATAATATGGCTAAACTCCAATATACTGATAGAGAAGAAACAGTAAGAAAAAGTACAGGATGGGTCTAACACATGAAAAGGAGAACAGTAAAATGATGTCACACAAGCAACTAATGACAGTGTATGGAGGTGTATGCTCAATACAACATTATAACCAACTCATCCACAAAATTAAAAGAAATTAAATAATTAGTCTGTCTGCCACCCATTCAAAATCAGTATGAATTGAAAAATGTATCAGTTTCACTAAAAGTCAAAAGGTTTGACACCAATACCGTATAGAATTCAAGCAAGTTGGGAACAGGTTTTTGATGTCCCAAAACCATGGCATCGGGGTTATGAACTGATATACTGTATAAAACAACAATTGACACAT